GGCCTCGTCCCCTCCCCACTCACAGGCTGCGTCCCCCCACCAGGTGTCCCTTACCCAGGCCTGCATCTCCCCCAATCTGCACCCCCTCCACCAGACCTTGTCCCCTCCATCCCAGGCTGCTTACCCCCCCCCAGGCCTCGTCCCCTCTTCCCCAGGCCGCGTCCCCCCAGGCCCCCCCAGGCATGGGCGTCCGAAGCTGGCTTCCGGCTGAGGGGTCCAGCCAGGCACGGGGAGGGGTCTGTGCCCGGCTGCTGGTTTGAGGTGTCCTTGCCCCCTCTTGCACACAGCACCCCAGGAGGTGGCCACAGCCCTGGGGAAGGGAGGGACCCCCCGCTCTGGTGACCCCCCTCCCAGCACCCACCTCCCCGCCACCTCCCTTTCTCCCAGCCCCACCTCCTGGGCACCCCCTTCCCAGCACCGTCCCATGGCTTTCTGCTGCCCAAGGCGGGCGCTCTGCCCCTCGGGCCACACCTTCCTCCAGGCCTGGCTTCTTGGCAGTTTCTGGGAGCCCAGAGTCTCTGGTGGGCCAGGGCTGCCCCCCCCCAGCCGGGCGGCCCCCAGCCTTTTGCTTGTTGGTTGGTTTGGAGGTTTCTGGGGTTGGAGACCTGGGTGCCCTCTGGGGCTTCCATGTGCTGTGGGCTGTTAGCTCTGGGAAGATAAAGGAAAGGACTGGAAAGGCCTGGAAATGCCAGCCGGGCCCCTTTCCTACAAGAGCCCCAGACTTTAATTGATTTTTAACATTTCCCTCTGGCATTATGTATGCATAAGCCTTAAAAGTTTAACTTTATTCCTTTAGATCGTCAGCTATTAACATCTGTAGTCTGTTGCTTTCCTTCAGGGACTGATTGCTGAAAGAAAAAAAACACACAGAACGCTGGGGCTGGCAGGGTGGCTCAGTGGTAGAGTGCTTGCCTTGCATGCATGAGGCCCTGGGTTCGATTCCTCAGCACCACATAAGCAGAAAAACCCTGAAGTGGCGCTGTGGCTCAAGTGGTAGAGCTCAGGGACAGAGATCAGGCCTACAACCGAGCAAAAAACAAAACAAAACCCTCCCCCCAAAAAAATCAGGAAGCCGTTTTGGAAGGGAAGCAGTACCCCAACTGGACAGATTTGAGGTCCCCCCGCCCGCCTTGCCTTGTCTTTCCTAGCCAGTGCTCTGGGCTGGAGGGAGGGATGTTAGGTGGGGGGGATGTCACTTGCAAAAGGTGATCTGCTTTACCCCAGGTTCCCATTTGCCTGTGAACCCCCAAGGAGGCTAAAATTAGTTGTGGGGTGGAAGGAAGAGAAAGGCCGGATGGGAAACTGAAGCTGACTTGGCTGGAGGAGAAAGCAGGCTGCTTTTCTGGAGGGCCCAGCTGTTGGCTGTCCATCTGGAGAGACAGGGCGGTCCCCCACTGGGCTCCCCAGGGCCCCACCAATGAGAGTGCCAGGCTGGGTGTGGGAGCGTGGCCCGAGCGGGCAAGGCCCAGCTTTGTACCGAAAAAAGGAAAGCTAAGGGGGCTGGGCAGGTGGCTCTAGTGGTCGAGTGCTGGCCTAGCATGCAGGAAGCCCTGGGTTCGATTCCTCAGCACCACATAAGCAAAAAGAAAAAAGCCTGAAGTGGTGCTGTGGCTCAAGTGGTAGAGTGCTAGCCTTGAGCAAAAGAAGCTCAGGGACAGCACCCAGGCCCTGAGTTCAAGCCCCAGGACTGGCAACAAAAGAAAAATAAAGATTTGTCTGCCCAGCCTGGCTTCAAACCACCAGCCTAAGATCCAAAGCCACCTGAGTAGCTAGGGTCGACAAGTGTGAGCCACCGCTGCCCAGCTGTTTTTCTTTTCTGACTTGAGACTGGGACTAATGCTTAGTACCTGATGCATTCTGCTCATCGGCTGGTGCTCTACCACTTGAGCCATGCCGCCAACCCCTCAGCTTTTTGGAACTATTTAGGGTTTGGGCTTCTGAATGTGGCCGCACAACTCTGTCTCTGCCATTGTGTATGCAAACACTCTGACGTACATGCATATCAATGCGTATGTGTGCACCATACTAGTTATCACACACGCATGCACAGACACACACACGTTAAAGCCCTTGCATTTTTGCTTGGGGCTGGCCTTGGACAGCGATCCTCCTTACTTCTGCCTCTTGGGTAGCTGGGATGACCACACCCTGATTGCTTTGCTTGGCATGGGGTCACCTTGGCTTCCACTGTAGCTAGGATTCAAGGTTCATTTTTGTCTTTTTCCTCCGCTGTTCACATTTAATCCAATGACCAATTGGCCTTTGGACGTGTGTGTATGTGTGTGCGTGCGTGTGTGTGCGCACGCGCGCATGTGTGTAGTATACATGTGCATACGCTGATACTGGGGCTTGAACTCAGGGCCTGGGCGCTGTCCCTTAGATTTATTATTTTTTTGCTCAAAACCAGCTCTCCACCACTGGAGGCACGCCTCCACTTCCAACTTTCAGGGGGTCCGTTGGACGATCCCAGATTTGTCTGCCTGGGCTGGCCTTGAACCGCCATCCTCCAGCTCTCAGCCTCCCGAGTAGCTGGTATGCCAGGCGTGAGCCACAGTGCCCGGCTTCCAGCTGCTTCTTGGGGGAAATGAGCTTTGGGGGGGAAGGGATGGGGGTCCCGCGCAGGCTGGCACAGGCAGGCTTTGTGGATCTCCTTAGACCTCCAAGCTCATGGTCTTGTCTTTTTTTTTGGGGGGGTTCCCTCAGGCTCTGGGCGCGGGGAGGCCGGGACTCGTGAGTGCGTCTACTACAACGCCAACTGGGAACTGGAGCGCACGAACCAGAGCGGCCGTGAGCGCTGTGAGGGCGAGCAGGACAAAAGGCTGCACTGCTACGCCTCCTGGCGCAACAGCTCGGGCACCATCGAGCTGGTGAAGAAGGGCTGCTGGCTGGACGACTTCAACTGCTATGACAGGTGCCGCCCCCCTCCCCCTCCTCCCCTCTTCCCCACCCCCCAGCCCACCCCTGGGGTGCTGGCAGTGCCCCCTCTTCTCCAGCTGTGTTCCCCAGCTGTGCCTGTCCCCGGGGCCTTGACTTCAGGGCCTGGGTGCTGCCCCTGAGCTGCTTTTGCACAAGGCTGGTGCTCTACCACCTGAGCCACGGCTCCACTTTGGGGTGTCTGGTGGCTCATTGGAGATCGGAGTCCACAGACTTACCTGCCCGGGCTGGCTTCGAACCTCCGTCCTCACAGCTCAACCCCCTGAGTAGCTGGGATGACAGGAGCACGCTGCCCGTCCCCGCCGAGTCCCCACTTTCTCTGGGGATGTGGGGGGGCGGGCTCCTCAGGAAGCCGTGGCGTGTGTGGGGGCCGCAGGCCTGACCGGGGCTCAACCCCTTTCCCCCCCCCCTCGGGCTCCCGCAGGCAGGAGTGCGTGGCCACCGAGGAGAACCCGCAAGTCTACTTCTGCTGCTGCGAGGGTAACTTCTGCAACGAGCGCTTCACCCACCTGCCCGAGCCCGGCGGCCCCGAAGGTGAGGGGCGGGGCTGCCCGGCGGGTGGGCGGAGCCCGCTCCCGCAGGCCAATGGCTGCATTGAGTCCAGGGGGGCGGGGCCCGCTCCCGCAGGCCAATGGCTGCATTGAGTCCGTGGGCGGGGCCCACTCCCGCAGGCCAATGGCTGCATTGAGTCCAGGTGGGCGGGGCCCGCTCCCGCAGGCCAATGGCTGCATTGAATCCAGGTGGGCTGGGCCATTCCCACAGGCCAATGGCTGCATTGAGTCCAGGTGGGCGGGGCCCGCTCCCGCAGGCCAATGACTGCATTGAGTCCAGGTGGGCGGGGCCTGCTCCCGCAGGCCAATGGCTGCATTGAGTCCAGGTGGGCGGGGCCCGCCCCGCAGGCCAATGGCTGCATTGAGTCCAGGTGGGCGGGGCCATTCCCACAGGCCAATGGCTGCATTGAGTCCAGGTGGGCGGGGCCCGCTCCCGCAGGCCAATGGCTGCATTGAATCCAGGTGGGCGCCCGCCCCGCAGGCCAGTGGCTGCATTGAGTCCAGGTGGGCGGGGCCCACTCCTGCAGGCCAATGGCTGCATTGAGTCCAGGGGGCGGGGCCCGCTCCCGCAGGCCAATGGCTGCATTGAGTCCGTGGGCGGGGCCCACTCCCGCAGGCCAATGGCTGCATTGAGTCCAGGGGGGCGGGGCCCGCTCCCGCAGGCCAATGGCTGCATTGAGTCCAGGGGGCGGGGCCCACTCCCGCAGGCCAATGGCTGCATTGAGTCCAGGGGGCGGGGCCCGCTCCCGCAGGCCAGTGGCTGCATTGAGTCCAGGGGGCGGGGCCCACTCCCGCAGGCCAATGGCTGCATTGAGTCCAGGGGGCGGGGCCCGCTCCCGCAGGCCAATGGCTGCATTGAGTCCAGGGGGCGGGGCCCACTCCCGCAGGCCGATGGCTGCATTGAATCCAGGTGGGCGGGGCCCACTCCTGCAGGCCAATGGCTGCATTGAGTCCAGGTGGGCGGGGCCCACTCCCGCAGGCCAATGGCTGCATTGAGTCCAGGGGGGCGGGGCCCGCTCCCGCAGGCCAATGGCTGCATTGAGTCCAGGGGGCGGGGCCCACTCCCGCAGGCCGATGGCTGCATTGAATCCAGGTGGGCGGGGCCCACTCCTGCAGGCCAATGGCTGCATTGAGTCCAGGTGGGCGGGGCCCACTCCTGCAGGCCAATGGCTGCATTGAATCCAGGTGGGCGGGGCCCACTCCTGCAGGCCAATGGCTGCATTGAGTCCAGGTGGGCGGGGCCCACTCCCGCAGGCCGATGGCTGCATTGAGTCCAGGTGGGCGCCCGCCCCGCAGGCCAGTGGCTGCATTGAGTCCCGGTGGCGCGGGGAGGGTGGGTCTGTGTGACCCAGGGCTCCGCGGTGTGTCTCTCAGTCACCTACGAGCCACCCCCGACAGCCCCGGCCCTGCTGACCGTGCTGGCCTACTCGCTGCTGCCCGTCGGGGGCCTCGCCCTGCTCCTCGCGCTGGCCTTCTGGATGTACCGCCAGCGCAAGCCCCCCTACGGCCACGTGGACGTCCACGAGGTGAGGGCGCCCGCCCGCCCGCCCGCGGAGGGGAGGGGAGGGGAGGGGAGGAGGCCCGGGAGCGGGCAGGGAGGCCGGGCCTCGCGGGCAAGTCCAGACACTCCATGAAACCAAGCGCCAGCCGGCAGCGGTGGTACGGTTCAGGCGGTCGTGGGGAGGAAAAGCTCAGGGAAGGCGACCGGCCGAGGTCAGGCCCCAGACCGATGCCGGACAAGAAGACATGAAACCCCCCCCCCCTCCCCAGGACTCGGCACCCCCGCCCCCGTCCCCTCTGGTGGGCCTGAAGCCACTGCAGCTGCTGGAGGTCAGAGCCCGGGGCCGCTTCGGCTGCGTGTGGAAGGCCCAGCTCATGAACGACTTCGTCGCCGTGAAGATCTTCCCTCTCCAGGTGAGCGAGGGAGGCGCCGCGGGGCCGCAGCAGGCCCTTGGGGGGAGTGCGGGGGGTGGGGGAGAGGCCTCCCCTGCACCGAGCACGTGTTGCAGGCAGGTACCAGTAGCCTGCCATCCTAGCTATTCAGGAGGCTGAGATCTAGAGGGTCGGGGTTCAAAGCCAGCCCTGGGCAAGGAAAGTCTGAGACACTATTCTTATGTCCAGTTAAGCACCCCAAAGGAGCTCAAGGATGACACTCAGGCCCTGAGTTCAAACCTCAGGAGTGGCATGTGCGCGCATGTGTGCATGTGTGCGCGTGCGCGTGCGCACACACACAATCGCATCTCAGAAATCATAAGTACAAAATGGGGCAGTGGCCCTCCTACATTAGGGCCTTGTACTGTCAGCTGGGCCACGCCCCGTCCATTGCTCATCCCCTTCCACACCTTTACACACACCAAGGACAAGCAGTCGTGGCAGAGCGAGCGCGAGATCTTCAGCACGCCTGGCATGAAACACGAGAACCTGCTGCAGTTCATCGCTGCCGAGAAGCGAGGCTCCAACCTGGAGGTGGAACTGTGGCTCATCACTGCCTTCCATGACAAGGTGAGTCAGCTAGGTCCGGACTTCACTGTCCCTCAGGGCCTGGGGTACCTTTGTGTGGGGCTTGAACTTAGGGCCTGGGCCTGTCCCTGAGCTCTTTTGCTCAAGGCTGGTGCTCTACCACTTGAACCACAGCACCACTACTGGTTTCCGGGTGGTTCATTGGAGATCAGAGTCCCTTGGCCTTTCCTTCCCTGGTTGGGCTTTGAACTGCGAATCTCTAGATCGCAGCCTCCTGAGCAGTTGGGATGGCGGATGTGCATCTGGCTTCTGGACTGACTTGTGAATGCTTGGAGTAGTGATGTCCTGTTTGCCATTCCGACTCTCTCTGGGGACATTCTCCCCTCCCCACCCCTCACGGGGCCGAGCTGAGTTTTGCACGCAGAACTGGTGCCCAAGTTCTATGCTTCATCTGCCTGTTCTTTCTTAGGGTTCGCTCACCGATTACCTGAAAGGAAATATCATCAGCTGGAACGAGCTGTGTCACGTGGCGGAGACGATGTCACGTGGCCTCTCGTACCTGCACGAGGACGTGCCCTGGTGTCGTGGCGAGGGCTACAAACCCTCCATCGCCCACAGGTACCGGGGTGGCTGGGCACTGGCTGGGAATGGCTTGGGCTGGCTGTGTGCTGTCCTCTGCTGGGCACTCAGGGAAGTGCCACGTCCATTCTCACCTTGAGCACCTGCTGACAGAAAACGAGGGCTGATGAGCAGGGCCTGGTAGTGCAGGACTGTAACCTCAGCCATAGATGTGGCAAGTTCTGATATGGGCTACACAGTGAGACCTTGTTTAAAAAAATGAATAAAGCCGGGTGCCGGTGGCTCACACCTGTCATCCTAGCTACTCGCTCAGGAGGCTGAGATCTGAGGATCGCAGTTCATAGCCAGCCTTGGCAGGAAAGTCTGTGACTCTTATCTCCAATGAACCACCAGAAAACCGGAAGTGGCGCTGTGGCTCAAGAGGTAGAGCGCTCGCCTTGAGCTGAAGAGCTGAGGGACAGCGCCCAGGCTCAGAGTTCAAGCTCCACAACCAACAAAAAATTAATACAGGTGCCAGTGACTCACACACTGTGATCCTAGCTACTCAGGAGGCTGAGATTGTGGTTCAAAGCCAGCTCGGGCAGGAAAGTCCCTGAGACAGAAGTGGTAGATTGGGAGGCTCAAGTGGTCGAGTGCCAGCCTTGAATGAAATAGCTAAGTGAAAGCCTAAGGTCCTGAGTTCAAGTCCCATGCCTGACACATGTGTGCACACATACGCTAAAAGGGTCCAAGAAGACACTTCTTCACCGTGGCACATGCCTTGGTCCCCCATACAGTGGGTGCTTTGCTCAGGGGGCCGTGGGCCCTCCAGATTCTAGGATCTCAAAGGCCCAGGCAGGTATGGGTGCATGGCGGATGAGGTTGCTGTGGGCTGCGTCCCAAGCGCATATCACCGATGGCCTGGATTTCTCCACAGGGACTTCAAGAGCAAGAACGTGCTGCTAAAGAGCGACCTGACTGCGGTGCTGGCCGACTTTGGCCTGGCCGTCCGCTTTGAGCCCGGCAAGCCTCCAGGGGACACTCATGGGCAGGTAGGAGGTCTGTGTGAGGCGGAGCCCTGCCTGGGAGCTGGGGACTTTGGAGGTCCGTGGTTTCCCCGTGGATCGCTGTGGCCAGGCGGCTTAGAAATCCAGAGGTGCACAGTCGCGGGGAGTTGGCCTGGTTTATCTCCCTCAATTCTAGTAACTGAACCAGACAAAATGGAAATGTGTTAAAAATGGAGCCCAAGAAAGCAGGGCAATTAAGAGAGAATAAGCCTTATAAAGTCATAAAATGATCATTTTGAATTTTTTTTTTAAATTTGGGTGTTGGTCCTGGGACTTGAACTCAGGGCCTGCGCACTGTCCCTCAGCTTCTTTTGCTCAAGGCTGGGGCTCTACCACTTGAGCCACAGCGCCACTGCTGGCTTTTTCTGTGGAAGTGGTAATGAGGAATGGAAGCTAGGGCTTCGTGCTTGCTAGGGGAGCACTCACCACTGAGCCACCTTCCCAGCCCTACCCTCGTCTCCCCCCCCCCCGCCCCCTTACCCCATAGGTGGGCACCAGGCGGTACCTGGCTCCTGAGGTGCTGGAAGGCGCCATCAACTTCCAGAGGGATGCATTCCTGCGCATCGACATGTACGCCATGGGCCTGGTGCTGTGGGAGCTGGTGTCGCGGTGCACAGCGGCTGACGGTGAGTGGCAGCCCCATTCTAGAAGGTTCTAGAAGGATCTTTGGGGGGGAGTGATGCCACCAGGCTCTCTCCCACCCCCCCCAGGACCCGTGGATGAATACATGCTGCCCTTCGAGGAGGAGATTGGCCAGCACCCTTCACTGGAAGAACTGCAGGATGTGGTTGTCCATAAGAAGATGAGGCCCGCCATTAAGGAGCATTGGCTGAAGCATCCGGTGAGGGGGAGGGGCGTGTTCAGGATTCTGGGGACCCGGCTCCCCCCACTTGTATATACATGGGAGGAACCTCGGATAAAGGGGGTGAGGGCTGCCCTCTCTGGGGCTTGAGGGTGGTAAGGGCCAGGACTAGGAGGAGGTAAGGTGGGCAGTGCCCTCCCTCTGGTCCCAACCACCCCCAGTGTTTTCCCCCTAAAGCCGTAGCTCAGTGGTAGAGCGCTCACCTCATGCACAGGCCCTGGGTTCCAATCCTCAGCACCACATCCACAGGAAAAGCCTGAAGTGATGCTATGGCTCAAGTGGTAGAGTGCTTGCCCTGAGCAAAAGCAGCTCAGGAACAGTGCCCAGGCCTGGAGTTCAAGCTCCAGGACTGGCAAAAAAAAAAAAAAAGAAAAGAAAAAGATTGAATTGGAGCAAGGTGCCAATGGCTCATGCCTGTCCATTCTAGCTCCTTGGAGGCTGGGATCTAGAGGATCACCATTTGAAGCCAGACCTCCCCCCACTAAAAAAAAATAAGGTTGGATTTAAGTATCATGGCAGCCACACCTGGATTGGAGATCAGAATCTCATGGACTTTCCTGCCCAGGCTGGCTTTGAACTGCAATCCTCCAGATCTCAGCCTCCTGAGTAGCTGGGATGACAGGTGTGAGCCACCAATGCCTGGCTTGTTGGTACTCTACCACTTGAGCCATAGCTCCGTATCTGGTTTTCTGGTGGTTCATTGGAGATTAGGGTCTCAAGGACTTGCCGAACAGGGCTGGCCTCGAACCGTGATCCTCAGATCCCAGCCTCCTGAGTCGCTGGGATAACAAGGTGTGAGCCATAATGCCTGGCTGTGGTCACCAACAGTTCATTCCCCCCCCCCCCCTTGTCCCCGGCTGGCACTCAGGGCCTGGCCCAGCTCTGCGTGACGATCGAGGAATGCTGGGATCATGACTCGGAGGCGCGCCTGTCGGCAGGCTGTGTGGAAGAACGGGTAAACTTGATCCGAAGATCTGTCAATGCCACTCCCTCGGACTGCCTCGTCTCCCTGGTGACCTCCCTCACCAATGTGGACCTGCTCCCTAAAGAGCCTAGCATCTGAGACCCCCGGGGCTGTGAAGAAGCTTCCTGCCAGCCTGCCCACCTGCCACTGACACGCAGCGTGGGACCTGAGGAAACGAGGGGAAACACAGAAACAAGCCAACACTGAGTGGATGTTTTGTGTTTCTTTGGAGGGGGAGAAAAAAAAAAGCCCCTAAAACCAAGAAACCCATACAAATGCAGCTGCTATTTTACTAGACTTTTTTTTTTAAATTGTTATTATTATTATAATTATTCTTAATGTGATGATGATGGTGATTTTTTTTTTTTTTTTTTTGGAGAATTGGGTCCGTTTTTGTGTTTTTGAACCCAGCATTTTTTTTTTTTTTAATTTGGATTTGGATTTTTCGCTGTGTGGTCTCGCACATGCCAGCACCCAGACGCACGGGCCGGGCGCTGAGTCGCTCCTCTGTGACTGGCCTCCACCTCTCACCTCCTGTCCTGGGGGGCTTGGGGGGGTCCTCTGTTGTGTTTTGTCATCTCCCCGGTTTGGGTGACACCCCAGGACTTCCCCTCTGGCTCCCCCCTCCCCCCCATCTCCTGTCTTAGCCACCTTGATGCTACAGATCCTCCTACCCGGGGCCATCCAAGACTGTTAGCCTCGTCCCCAGCGCCAGCTCCGGGCTGGCCTGTCTGCCCCCCCCCCCCCCCCCC